CCCAAGCAGTCCATCTTGCACATCATCGTTGAGTAAAAATCTGAACTTTAGAATCATGTGAAGACCACCAATTGGTTTTACTTGCTTTCTTGGGGTTTGATTTGGATCCATTATACATTTCCAGCTGCAACAAGAAATCCAAGCATAGAACCACTGGTGCAACTTCTGCAACGAGTTCCCCAGGCATAGTAGTTGGCGCACCCAATTGATCAGTCCTTTATCTTGTATGCCCTTTCCCAATTTTCTTTCTTTACACGCTTCAGAACTTCTTCAAATTGTTCAAAAGCATCCTCCATATTTGTGACACATACCTGGAAGAGTGGAAAAGTAATTTACATTCAAGTACACGTATGACATAACAAAATGGTGAATAAATATGCAAAACCCAATGGGCAATGAAACATCTCCATTTTCACGAAGCGTTTATACCATGCCTTCTAGTACGATATCTGTTTCAGAGTCGCCATTCTGGTCACTAACTCCAGGGAAGTCAATCAAGAGAATTCTTTTCGTAAATGTTATGTATTGCCACACCGTGGGCTCAATAGGAGCAACTTTGCAAACCTTTGAAAGCAAACAATTTTTTTAACTGAACTAAACCACTGATCTTAAAAATAAAGTAGATAAATGATGCTTAAAACATAACTATTGTTCAAAAATCATAAAATTGCAGTACACTCTGTTGGCTACAATATTGGCAAACACAAACGATACTACACTTAAGGCATCCAGAGAAATCAGATTTTATATTGAAGTTCTCAATTTTAAAGAAAAAGAAAATGCATTTCAGACAGAGTTTGGAACATAGTGATATTTGTATGCAATAACATGTATGAACTTATGTATCGCTTCAACATTCGAGGGCACAAAAACCCAAATATCAAAAGTGATGCAACAAAAGAAGCCATAAAGACGAAGCACATTGCAAGCTAACATAGTTGGCTATTTGCTGAGTGAATACAAGTTATAATCTACAAGAGCAGAAATGTTTTGCAATAGAGTATACAGT